AATAATAAGGTGGACAAGATCTTACTGCCGCAGCCGTGGAAGCATTTCACGAGAACAGAGCCTGGGGCCTAAGATATGTATCAAACTGTTAACCAAAATTGGTATTTCACGTGTAACATTTTACTGAATTGTAACCGAAAGTCTGAAATTGCAAAAGCTGAGTAAGAAAATAGGTTCTTTGTGAATCGTCTGTTGGCTGATTGAAAATACGCATAATATATTGTATGCGCAACTATTGCGGAACTCAAATTAACAAAGGATGTTGGTACATGCTTGCAATGGACATCGAATGCGTCTGCTACTATGAGATACTTACCAAGAATGAAACAATGAATGCAAAGTACTGTCTCAAGTCCATTAAAAGCCTCATGGACTTCATACCTCCATTACTTCCTTATTCAAGCAAAAAAATATCAAATATTATCCTCAAGTCGCTTATTCTTCTGATCTAAGTCCATTTCGAGCTTTCCAACTGAAGTGACTGTTGGGCGAGCATATTCCACTGTCGATTTATTTTCAGGAGCCATAGGTATGGAAATTATAAATGGGAATGCAAATAGTAGGTATACAGCTGTTTAGAAGCTGTCAGAGCACTGGAACAAGCGTGGGAAAAATAAGGAAAAGTACCCCTAGCGCACATAAAGCCATCATTCTAGTCCAACTAGTTCAGCTTATTTGGCTTTTAAAAGCTAATAGAGCGTATATAGGTGCTTGAATACGAGGATGACTTCTCCATGACTAGTTTTTTGCACTTTGAACGCCCATGAGCTACTGAATGCAACCATAGCGGAAACCCTATGGCGAATTTATTTCGAGGTAGTAGAGCTAAATACCTTTAAAAACACTCCTGGAGAAAGGATTTTTCGGTCAAAACTTAGAGACTAGTTGAGACCGGAAAAGGTCTCAGATCTTCATTCCATAGAAGTGTGTGGCCATCTCTAAAAATACAGTATTAAAAATAAATCGAAGAAACTGCAAAAGGTATGCTAGCTTGGTCGCTTCTAACCGAAATGTTCGAGGAGAGTTTGTCGGCTCTTATTCCTTTTTTGGCCTGTTTCATATATTTTTACATGGGTGAAGTTTGTGTAAATAAGAGCCGGCCTAGCAGGGCAAATGGGATATATGTCATTGAATTTAGTTTTATATATGAACCGAAATATTATGGTCAGATATATGTAATGTGATAATTACTTAATGTATATATTTCTGCAGATACTTAAACACGTGTCCCGCCCAAGGAAGCCGAACGATTCGCACCGAGGAAGCCGTACTCATCACTTTGGCCGCATTGCAGCGATATTTATGGTGTTGAATCAAAAATAGTTAATTTTTGCAAACATAAAAAGTTTAATTTATCGTAATTTTGGCTTTGGAAATGTAAATTGTTAGCACTATGTATTATCAGATGTATAGGTATATGTACATTGAATATAGGCTCTGCATTACATTGCAAGCGCAATCTGGTCAGCCGAGGCAAAACTTTGTACACTGTATCATCGTGAGTTCTTCGAGTTCAAATAGCTATTTATTGATAGTAGAACGTAATGTCCGTATACCTGGGTGTTTAGCTGTCATAGGGTCACTCAGTTGAAGGTAATTTGTTGTTTCTTTTTGTTGATGAAGGAATAGTTTGTCAAGTGAGTTGTTAGATAGTACGGCTGGTTAAATAATGGAACACGAATTAAACTGATGTTATGATAAAAAAAAAATAATAAGAAGAAGAAGAAGAGCAAATTGACCGAACTCCTGCGACCTGTACACAATTGTATTTCAATTTCTTATTCGAAATTATAATGGCTGCATAGAGGTAACTTACTGAGTTCGGCCGAATAACTACAGAGGGTTAACTGTGTGTGTGCACTCGTTAGTTTAATTTGGATTAGGTGACACAAAAAAAGAAAAAGTGGAGCGCAATAATTACGATCAGAGCCCCCGATAGACCATGGACAGTCGCTATCCATGAAACGAAATTCGTAAATTCCGTTAATTTTGAGGCAATGATTTGGTGGGGGCACAGTGGACTCAGCAAACAAGAGCGTGAAAGATGACTGCGCACAAAACATAGATAGAGAAAGGCAACTGTAGTCGAATGAACCACAATCGATGCGGCAGTATGGGGTATTTAGAACTTTACTTTCTTTTTCTTCAACACTTTAGTAGCCGGACTAGGTCTCTAGCCAGAGTAGGCTTTGCTGCTACAATAAAGCAATACACAAAGAAACATATCGGTGTTGATAAAAAAATGTAATGCATGAATGCATGCGTGTTTTTCAACGCTTACTTAAGCATTCTTGTCACCAATGAAAATGTAAGGCAATCTTCAACCACCTAAAAGGTGGAAGATCGGTAAATTGATCGCAGCGGATCTTCCAGTATCAAGGACGTCCTTGACTGGAGCTGTCGGCCTCCAAGTGCGTGATCGAATCAATGACAATCCGAGATGCCGTGACAGTAAACTCTTTGATAGTCCAAATGTACGGGTGTAATACTTGCTTAAACAAAAAGTCATATAGATCTTATATGAAGAATCACAACACCACTCTATAGCTACCCTATGTGAGATTAGGTGGCGCCGTCAGCAGCAAACACAACAACAATAATCGGAATAACATTGAAAACCTTACAGAACAATAAAGGGCCGGGTGACCCTTGGTACTGGGTCAAATGTTAAGATCAGCGTTCAGCCGTAATGTCTCGTTTTCTCTTACGGAGTTAATAAGGTACTCCAGCTGGTAGTTTTTGTGTAAACCTAAAGGACTTGAGGTGGTTTACGACTGTGGTATGGCTGCAGCCCCTCTTTTCGGCTACTTCCCGAGTTATTTATCGGCCGTCTTCGTTCAAAAGTGCCCTCGAATGATCGTCATCGAACTCCGACAGTCGGCCAATGTGAGGCACCCTCTCTGTCTTGGCTATCTATTCAAAGTCGGCAAACTACGCTTGAGCAGTCCTTTCAATGACAGCGTCGATACCGTACACAAGGCAAATTTCCGGAGCTCCTTTGGCCTTGACAAAGTTCATAGCACAGAAGGTTTCGAAAATGCACTTTTTTCTATCTATAAGGTTCATTTTTAAGAAATTCTTTAAGGCTGAAATAGCACTCGCAGCACGATACCGTTACAGCGTAATGATAGAACGGGAATATGGTAAATCGAAGGATATATCAGATATGAGCAACAAATGAAAGGAGGCGGGAGAATGAAGTCTTTCTAGGTATATGTGGTGACTTTCCTTCCGGCCTAATACTTTATTTCGGTCGAGTGGTCGCTATCTATCAGTTATGTCAAAAAAAAAAACAAACACAAACGTTTAGCGTATTTTTCCAAAAAAGAAAAATCGAAAAGAAATGGTACTACACATCTCACATCAGCATTGACACTTTATTTATATTAATAATAAATGTCAAAAACCGAATTAACTTTATTTTCGAACTAACAGGCAAACCTACGTTACCTTTATAAGAAATGTAACAGAGTATTATACTTCGTAATATATATACATATGAGGAAAATATTTTCTAGGGGTGCACCGTTATAGCTGTCCAGTATGCGAAATACTGCTGTTTTACGACATTATTACGAGATTTGGCCTTTTATGTAAAATCTAACCATAGATATAGTCAGTCATAAAAAAAGCCTTTAAAATTATAAAAACAAGTATAAATACTTATCTAACAAAATCTGAATATATATTTAATTATATTTATTTTTTATCGTATTTAGTCAATTAGATTCTTATTGGACGCCATTACTGCTAAAATTATAAAAATAAGTGCCTTTCAAAACTGATACGTACTATGTAGAATGTGTAAACCAATATGCATGATCCAATGGGGCACGATTTTCATATTTAGTTCGATTGTATCACCTGCGATCAGCCAATTCAGAATTCTTCACGTAGCACACCCATGTTCCATGATTATGGTAGCTAACCAGGTAGGTCTTTTACAGAGTTGACCTTTCACAGGTTGGTCTTACGTGAATAATTTAATATAACCTTCGATCCTTTATCGTGTTAACAAGTAAAACTTTTTACTCAATCTCGTGTGCAGCATTTGCCGCAAAAAGACTGCTAGTTGTTATACAAACCCCTTGTGGTTCTCACGTGTGCTAGTCATAATCAAATACGCTAGACATTGCTGTAGCAAACTCGACCGCGTCACCAACGGCGTCGGTTACCTCAGGTCACCTGAACCTCGCTTCTTTGAGCTATCTTTTGCATCGGTTATTACTCGATGCGCCATTGTAGCGTCAACTGCTGAATTGTTTTTCCGAATACGAACGCAACGAATCGATCAAATGTAATTCGTAGGGAAAATTGAGTGAGTGAATTATTTGACTGTAAAAATTTAAATTTTACACGCTTTATATACCTCAAACTAGGTACATTTTACCCTGTCCGCCATAGTACACGAGCCTTGTGACTATGACTATCCGGGTTAATTGAAATAGAGATTATTTATGGATCTGGAGGTATGGCCATAGGAGTTTATGCATTTAGCATTTGAAATTCATATGTTTCATCAAGGAAGGGAGTGTTCGACTAGATTAGTTGCTACGGGGTACTGTAGTATCGTTGCCAATTGAGCGAAGGACATTGAGAAAAACCACAGACACGTATTGTGATTTGATCACATTCGATGGTTATAGTTGAAATTTGAACCAGGACCAGCTGCGAGGCATGGAATAGTCTCTCTCTCAGACATGGAATAGAATCTCACTCAGACCATGCCGCTTCTATTTTCCGCGATTATGTTAGGGGTCCGCAGCGATAACAAGCATTTAACCGACTCATGTATTGCATATTGGCGTACCGAAAACTTCAACTATTTTAACAAAAGGATTTGAATAGCTTGTCCTCCTTATTGGGTCATATTAATAAAAATTTTTTGACGATAAATGACTCTGACTGACAAGAATTAATTCATTAGGAGAGGTCGGTTGTTTGCATTTATTAACAAAGTGTTGAAACTGATAGCTATTATCAGGGGAAGTCGAATTTCGACAATTATCACTACATAAGGTTACATTATAGACAAGTGAGCTGCTCTGCCGCTAGTAATGGCCCTTCAATTGTTTCAGGTAGATTTAACGATGAGAACGTTCAAGGCCTTCTCTCGAGATGTCCGACAGTCAGCGTGACTCTATTACCAGGTTATATCATAAACTAGCTTGATTGCGACAACCCAGCTTTTTTACAAACAATTTACACATTGACCGGCCGTATCACTGCCTCCCGCAGGGCATTTATTGACATGACGTGAACCCAGTTCCAGTGTGCACAGCAAAATCATGTAAATACCGTGCGGTGCTGGTATCGCATTTGTGAAAGTCGTGCGATCTATCGGCACCAGTCGATCAACCATTTCACGATGTAACCCAGTATTAGATCAGGTTTACTCTTTATTTACATAGTTGTTCTCATTTGGCTTGGAACATATTAACTTCTTTTCAAAGCACCTCAGCAAGCACCTTTTACGTACGTTGCACGCACTTCTCAGAAGAGTTCTTACAGAAGACGAGTATAACTTTACTAAAGTGTAGGTAATTTACCTAAAAATTATGGTCGTAATGCTAAGCAAGATAAGCAACTAATTTGCATTTATAATTTCTGGGTCAAGTTATCGGATGTAAATGAAGCTCGTTAACTACATTTTAGAAGTGTGTGGAGAGGATGGAACGGAGCAAAAGAAAAGCAGTTTCTAGCGGAATTAGATAGTCAATAAACAAATTCGCCCGTTTTACATTACCATTTCTACTTTTCTTAGGAATTTTTGTTTTTAAAAATACTGAGATATGCCTATGACATGTCCAACTTCTTCACTTTTGTTGTATGTCGCGTATTATCGCGAACGAAATTCCTATAAATCATGCTTTCCGGTGTAAATGCATTACATTGAATGAATATACTAAACTCTAACATGTTCATACTGTATATCAATTAACTTTACTTGCCTTAAGATAGGATAGAGTAGATCTCGGGACTTGGTTCCCGATAACATTTGATTGAATATTAACCCAGTTTGCATATGCATAAGTTTATTTCTCTAATCCTATATGTTAGTCACGAATTTCACGTACCTTATGCTAAAGGTGAGAACCGACACATAATCATCACGCTAGCGTACTTATATATTTGTACACGCTTAACTTGAAACGTATGCATTTCTCGGTGTGCCTATTGGACATTTTTTAGCGGTCGAATTAAAGATCGATCTTCGAAATATGCTGAATGATTGTGCAAGAATCTGTTACGTGAGGTCTCGGCCGTGACTGCCTCCAATGGATAGAAATTTTCGATTGTAACCATCTCTGTAGATGGAAGCACTTCCTATTAGCTGCTTCACCAGATAAATAATATCTTTACACGTAGCAGAGATCAACCTTGGTCCGTCTGGACAACTGGAGTGCGATACCGGTTCACGCCAGATACGAAGAAACATCTGCAGGTAGATGAAAGCATGTGGCAAAAGCCTGAGCTTTAAGGCGAATAGGCTTGACAAACGACCGTTTGTCCTATTAGGGCCTAATATTTTTTCGTATAACCACCGTTACGTATCACTGATTTCGCTTGTGCACTCAAAGAAGTCGGAAGTGGATTCCATTTGCTTGCAAGAGAAATTACTTCTCAAGCGTTATATCTTATGGCTCGCTGGCAAAAAAGGACTTAGGTCCAATTAGGACTGGATATGATGCTGCTACATTTTTTTCCTATTACCATATTCCTGTACTATATTTGATTAGTACAAATAGCCTGACATTTGCCGGTTCATATTTAGCTCGTCGAAGTTAGCAAGTTAGGTTACAGCTTATTATCCACAGTTCGTTATTAAATACATTAGTTATTAATAACTACTGTTAGTTATTTTCTATAACTGACCGTAGTAATTTAATTGTTTTATACAGCAGAAATTAATAATGAATTAGTTCGATGTCAATACGGCGCATTGAGAATTCTGATGTGGCTCTTCCAGCCTAGATAAAACAAATCAACTAATTTCTATACCCTATATGGCCAAACTGTGTTTTTAGCAGAAACTAGTGTTTTTATCGAGCTGACGACAATTCAGGCTCTAATAAAACACATGCCTAATCGCATGGTTGTCTGTATCATCATCCGAAAAAGTTGATTTTGTAATCATCTTGTATATTCAAAGGATTTTCAATAGCTAATTTTAAAAAGTGTGTTTTGTCCGTATGCAGGGTATAGATTTATATAGAGCGTATATATTTATAGTCACATAGTCCTCTTCTGTAATCGTTTCTCTTTAATAATAATAAACTAATAAGTTTAATAAAATTGTAATGCAGCCCTATAAGGATTCGAAATAAAGACAAATATGAATAGGTGTGATCCTCACTTAATGTACCTCTACGCAAAAAAAGGACACATCTTTAACGATATAATTTATTTGCAATCTTTTTCTGCACGCTCGTGATCATTGTGGTGTTGCAGAGGAATGTCGGCTTGATCGCGCTAGCGGAGTGCCAGTAACTTGCGCGCTGCGGAGCCTGAAAAGTGAAAATCATTGGCCTCCCTCAGCTTTACCGCCCAACTCACGTCACATCTGACTTTTTAGATCTCCGCCATATTTGCTTGATAAGTTGCGCAATCGATCTATACGAGTTTATGGGAAAAAATGTATCATTAGATGCAGGTTTGCGCGCGTGTCAATGGCGATCGTATCACTGTGTTCTTAGCTGTCGTTCTACGCTTGACCTCCATAGTACAGACCGTGTTAGTCTACGAGTCGAGGTCAAAACGCTGCGGCGTTTCTGATCGAGCCTAGATATTAACACGAAAATGATCGCTCGTAAACCTAGTTATTTCATAACTATTCGGCATAGCAGCACAAGTGGCCTTGTGACACGCGTGTATCGGATATAGGCGCGTATTATGTACTTAGGCCGTATCATCAATAAGCAAGCATCATTGATATCTAGTTTCGCCTATAAGCCTCATATATTTTGAGAATGTTTTTTGCCATTGATAGAAAATGCAATTAGCTTGGAGCCAAGAAAATTAAGTGTGCATTTAGTGGCGCAAACAACTTGCCAGGTTCCGGTCAATGCGGTGCTACTATATTATGAAAGCAGCGAAAAATATGCTGAAATAGTGGACTCAATGATTCGTTGATATGGTTAAATAAGCTGCATTAGTATAATATATCTGTAAGGTCGACTAAGAAAAAGGAATAGAAGAGATACTTGGTAAAAAGTCAATTGAATATATCACATGAAGAATATGAACATGGCCTACTTTTAAAGTGGCTATTGGGGGTCAGAATAAGCGATTCGATTGTGTCTTAAGTAAGTGTACTTACTCAGATATAGGTAAGGTTTATTATAAAAAAACAAACGATAAGTTGTAGGCTGTAAAATCCGAAACGTACCTATAAGCGGACCCGCATGCCTCGTTGATCCTGACGCTGGACGCCTATAACAGATAAAAAGGCGCCTATTCAGATAAACAGTGTACTAGTAAACTGCAAACCGTTGATTTGGATTACGTTGAACATACGCGGTGGTCGGATGGCAGTATAACTTGTGCGGACTTGTCTGAAGTGCAACTGTACCCCAGTTTTGAAATATTACCCATATAAGATTGCCATAATAATTATGCAATGATCGCATAAGTGCGCTAATAGTATTACAACAATGTAGAACGAAACCTGTAGTATAGTCATTTATAAGGTTGAAAGCCGAGTCCGGTAGTGTACATGTTTTTAACGTGACGAAACTTCGACTCATTTTTCCGTGAGGAACAGAGATGAAAAACGAAGTGAACCGTTTATGAGTTCTCTCCAAGTATATGCGTCGGTGTCGTGCACGTAGAAACAGCATCGGGTTTATGGGAAGCCTTCAAAGCAGGCTTTGGAAGAAATGACCCAAGTAGTTTCGCATACATGTTTACAATCAGCCGTGCTGCAATGTTTGGACGAACAGCGCTATAGACGCTTCTTAAGCGGTTCTATATAAGTATGTATATATACATATACTCGTTTTATAGGGTTCGGCTACGCACAAGATGTATCAATGATTGCGTCTCTACAATCTCATTTCTAGATTGTCGACGCTCTTCCACTTAATTAACAGCCATATATCAGCGTCGTGCTGCTTAATGACGATGATGGCGAAACAAAATAACCAAATGTAAAGTCTGTATGACCAAAAGTAACGAAATGACTACTGAGAAAAATGCGCTTTTTATTTAACTTACGCGCCGTGGTAGAAGGGTGTCTTGATGTGACCGTAAAGTCTAGCGGGTTCTCACTCTTCGTTGTCGAGTTGCGTAGAACACCGCCTGAGGTAGTGTTGAGCTTTTCCTTCGCGTAATTAACCTCTGTATAGGTTACGGTAGACGAATGGGTCGCGAGCGATAGAGCTACAAGAAAACAGACGAAGCTACTTTCTTAATATCATGTTATTGTTAGGTATACGGCTTGCAAGGATGCTCTTATGTACGCATAATTAGAGCTGGAATAGATATTCTATTTAGGAGGCTATCAGAGTACGTTCAAAGCAAGCGAAACTTGTGTCTTCAGCACATTGGGTTGAATAGCAGGTATTTTTAGGGCGGCGCACCACCTGTAGTGTACTAAAACATTTTTGAGAATGGTTTACTAACAGCAGGAAAATACGGAAAGTAGATACGCGGTAACTTCTTACCAGACACAACAAGCGTTGCAAAGAACAACGTAAGGTGAAGCTTCATTTTGGTCTGAAAGGTCACCAGGTAAATATTCAAAGCAAGTGAAATATGCAATTTAGCTCTGCCTCTAAATTTGTACAGATAGTCAGATTTGCTCATCGTATGTAGCGTGTTCCAATAGAATTTCCCCAAATCTTTGTTTTAAGGCATATAGAACTAGATTTAAAGGAGCCTGTTCTAGGATGTGGTCAGTAAGTCCATCGTTTTATTCTAAGGCTTATATCCCGTTAACGCAGTTTTATTGCTATTTCAACGTAAACGCTATGCGAGGTTACAAAAATTTTCAAAATTGATTTCGAGAGTTAGATTAAAATTTGTAATCCCGGGTTTGTCTACTTGAGCTTGAGTAAACCTACGGTTAATTTACAGATAACGGCGGTGTCAGCCATAATATTTGCAGCTCAGTGAGATCATCTTCTATAATCTGTGCATAACCTATGTGACGTTGGGTCAGAGCTGACGGAAGAGATAGTTTACTGATTCTATTTTACTTCACAAAATAAGCATTCAACTGACAGTGATGGGGCCTCGGAACATAGTCATATTGGTAACGATTAAAAAATAGATTAGGTTGATAAACAACATCTTTCTACAGACAATACTGTATTACCTTTTAGCAGGATGCCAGGCCCGCGCGGATTCGACACTCCTTTGATTGTTCACTATATTCTATGCCCACACTTGCTGAGCAACGTCTACAAGCATCCAACGTTTGCACAACGGATTTCGTCGGATTGATCCCTTTCTACAGAATGGTGGGAAATATCTAGATGGCTATATCGTGGTTTCGTTTAGCAGCACGACAGCTGTTACTATCTATCCTACTCACGTTGGCTCCATTGGCGTGTACTAAGCAACTCGGCCATAGGTAAGCACGGAGAAAATTATTTGTGACCATATCACAAAATACCATCGCATATAATTTGTATAACACACATTACGGAACGTAGCTCATCCCGTCGAGATGCCTGGCTGGCAATATGTCTTTTGTCGTGCGTCATGATTTCAAGCGATCATCGCTACGTTCCATGTGGCGCTTTGTGGGACGCCACCGATGATAAACACCTTAACAATGAGCTAATAACGATTCGGGGCTGACGTCAGTACTTAGGATTTGAGAGCACTTTATCCTTATGTAAAGCGTGTCCCTTGATTAAATGTACGAAATATTCTCCACGTCTTTTACTGGCGCAAGTATAACAGAACTTTAACGAAGCGCAAAATTGAATTTTTCAAAGGATAACATAAATTCTCATAGATTATTGCAGAGTATAACATTGTAACTAACAGGTGTATAATTTACCCAGCCACAAAGGTTTTTGTGCTACAATGGGGGACACAGAGCCAGTAGAGAAAAACCGTTAACTCTGTAAAAAACATGTCTAGTAACTTTGCTCCAAAAGAGTTTCATTCATGAAAAACAGTGACTATTGGATTGGGGTAGATATAGCAAGAGACTAAATTCAGGGCCTTATAACAACCTAACAACCGAACGGTTCGTAGAATGACCTTCTCTACATACGAAAAAGTCGCTGATGAATCATGTGAGGGTACTAACCGCACACTGTAGCTAATAGTATAGCGTCTGCCTACCCTGTAAGTACAAAACACTATAAGTATTCTTAAATTGTTCTCTATCATGTATATCAGTTACAAATAATGTACAACGTTCTGTGAGTATATATCAGTTCGTTGGCGTTCTTTGCTCTACCCTTTATCTTGTTCAAATGTACTATTTTTGAATGAACGCGTGTCATCAAATGCGCAGTCTGTATCTTTCTACCATATCCATTGGCTTCTCGCTTTTTATCGGGCCATCTGCAATCCGTATGTCGTAAACTTCATGATCTTTTCATTTAATTCAAAGAGTGCAGTCGGGTGGGGCGGCCTGTCTGTTACCTAGGGTCGTGTTGTTCAGGAAGCCGACTTTGTTCGTTATTTTGAACCATTTTATAACTGCAGCAGTAACGCTGTAGACGAAGCTTTTTCAGACAGTAACTTTTCAATCCCCATGAAAAAATTTCATACTCTCATCTACATCCTGGTAATATGTGAAAATCAGAGGCATGCCCTACCATGTAGAGATCGTATAATTAGGATGAGATAATAATAAAGCTGGAAACGCAGAAGAGATAGTTAGCTATGATACTATGAAGAACAACAATCTTAATAACCTCAATATTGAGTCTTCTGTGATTTGAAAATCATCTTTTCAAAACAGCTACTCTAATATGTTCAAGTCATTTGTGTGTACTATTAAAAAAAAAAAAAAAAAAAAGATATTACGCATATTTTACTTGAGCACAACTTTGTAAAGTACTTCAAAAGGAAAGTTTTATGGTAAAAAAAAAAGGTCAATTAATTGTGCTCTATTAAGAATGCTGAAAGTAGATGAGGTTGAAACAAATCTTACAAAATTGCAAAGCTGATACATTCTATATTGCCACCTAATGTCAATAATAATATACTGATTTTATTTAAATTTTTTACTGTTTCCTAACATTGCAGTATAAATATAGGTCAGAGGAAGACCAGGCGGAAAACTAATTAAATTAAAGCTGCTAAACTAAACTTTGTCAACTATTCTATCAAAGTGCTTTATTTTCTGAATATATTGTAGTACATTTATATCCTATCATCTTGTGTAATAAGTGCTTTGATAGTCGAGAGTAAATTCAGATTGATGTCCGATAGCTTAACGATAGAAAGAAAACAAGACACCAGCTTTAAGATTCATACAACCACCTAAGTAACGTATTGTCCGTACCACCGGGTCCAGTATAAACAGCGCATCGTTCTAAAAGCGCTCTTCGTTCGACGACTTATCAGGTTAATGATCTCTCGAAGACCTACCAGGGCCAACTGCTTAGTAGACAATTCTAGCTGTCTAAAAAAACTAACTAAGTAAATGCCTCGATCGACAGATTCAATGATTCGAGAGCTCTTTTTCTCACTTAATATCGCAGGGTTTGCGTTTAACTCAGCCGTATCACATATAAAATAGTAATCTCTCTCTTCCAATAAGGCCTTGATGCCCATCCACATCCAAAATACATGGCATAGATAGCCTAGATTAAATCGAGATATTCATCTAGAAAAAAACTATTAACTTACCTTGAATCGATAAGTAGAATAGTCATATTTGTGAGCCATGTCGCAAAATTACATTTGGTTCAGAAGCGGCCAAATTCGAGTAAAATCTCTACTATCATATATATGAGTCAAAGTACCATACAGGTTTCTTTATATTATCATTCGTCTTATACCTCATAAATTGTTTTTTACTCAAAATTAGTGGAGCATCGTTCCGACAAAAAAATACACATTTAAATAGACAATTTCTAGTAATGATAGTTCAGAATTCTCTGTTTGTGATGGCTGAAATACTGAATCGTTGACATTCTATTACTCTGTTCCAATTGTTGGTTACATCCAATCCCAGCCTCATCCAATTGCAGAGCCTCTTTACTTGGCCAGAATGATATCGATCTTCCATTAAAATATCTTAGTGATATTACTGCTATAAAATAACTCATTGCTCCATCCTAATGACGTCTTGTAAATTGTAAACAGTGACGTCCTTCAGTAAATTCGTCCGTTACCACTCTTTATATATCCTAAAAACTGAAACAAAAACTGACCTCGACATCAAAATGTTCAGTATCAACCAAAATTGATTTTGCTTTACATAGGCAAGCCTAAGTCAACACGACGCCAGTGTATCGTAGGAGCCTTGGTTAATCTAAACTCTTACTCAGGTACAAACCCAGTCCGTTGTCGCTTCAATAAGTCAGTCTACTGTTTCGTTGAGATGTTTTGGTTAATATGCTTTTTGTAATTTTTTCGAAGTGCATATATTCCGTCACAAAACCCCTACAACCGTTCGTAAGCGGCTGGCATGGTAAAGAAACAAACTTGGTACCGAGATATGCTATTCAAATATATTCATCTAGGTTGTATTGTCTACTACCGCCCACAACTTGGATCCTTAGAATAAGTTTTAATAGAACTTAATTTTCCAAGATACGAATTTTATCAAGCTAAGCCAAGTCGCGTAAAATAATGCAAATTAATACAGCTTTGTTCGTTGGAGACTAAAGGAAGGGTATTATAGCAATGATAACCAAGCAAAAGTGGTTCGTACAAACGTCCGACCCATATTAAACAAATACCGAGCCGCTGGTCGAGAAATGGCTTGGCAGGCATTTCCGAGCATCTATAGCAAACAAGGAAATGACCACACTTCTGTTCAGTGATACTCTTAATTCAGGATTGTTTGCAACATCTAGGATATAGTCATCCCAGTGATGGCATCATGTCCGATCTACTGTTCTATGTATGACCTATTTCTTGTTCTCAAAATTTTGCTCCCAGATGTTTTTGTTACTCAGTACTGATTACGGTAAGATATTATTTACCTCTACCGCCGTTTGTGAAATCATAATGACATCTAGTGTGACATACCTGTCTGTCTGCCATATGCCTCAATCAATACCTAAATGTCGAGCGAATCGAACATTCGAACAAATACAAAATCATTGTGTATCTTTTATAGTACTTACTAGTAGCTATTGTCTTGAATTCGAATACAAAATATTCACCGCGTTTTTTCGTGCAAAAAACTCAGCCATGCAAATTAAATGCATGGAAATACATCTAATTAATAAAAAAATAGTAACTCTGTAATGCAGTTCAGATCAAGAAAACACAGTCTCAATTGAAACCATAATTTCTAATTGAAAGTCACAGAAACTGTTTGTAGCCATCGTTCGCGCTACACTAATATACAGCCGATTTGTAATAAACGTATAAAGAACTATGCGGGAATTATTTCGGAAAAGTAAACCTGTATCCTAACAGAGTGGTTTTTGTTTGACACCTAAAGTTCCCCCACATGGTCAGCCTCATAATGTTACAAAAGGCTACATTCCCCCATTTAGACAGTGTCACATAATTTCTGCGTTTTTTGGTAACGCCGTGCATTTATTGCTAGTCATTTACTTTATCGTCATTGCAGCTAATTATGCACGTACGCAATAGTTGGTTATTCTTATTTGTCTGATCGGCCTGCTAACTCGATTGTTTCACGAAATACATCTACAGCCACCATTATATATATATATATATATATTAATGTACTGAATAATAACTTAGAGACTTTAGTAAATCTTCTTGAAGAGGCACTGGTTATCTTTATATTGATCTCTGCAAATTCGCTAAGAAACTAATTTTTTTTACCTTGTTTTTTTCGGACAAAATCAGCAAGTAACTAAGTACCAGAGAAATCTTTTCACTGTAATTAACTTATTATAGCTGACAATTGATAACAATCGTACCTTGTAAATAGATCTAGCTACTCATGTTTAATATTTATCTAAATCTAAAAGGTCTATATTCATCTCAATAGCAATACAGTCTACTAAGTCTAGCCCTGACAATATCATGTTCTGTGTACGGAGTTCGTACCCTAGTAGCACCTTGTAAAAACAATTAACTGTATCTAATTGCTGATAGTGGATATTATTAGCCTTAAGAGGAAGTTTGACGAAAAAGATTATTGGACATTGGGGTAAGTTTCACTCAAGATAAAATTAAAGCAATTTTTATGAAGTCACAACAATTCCAGCAAGCGTACTTGTTTGGCTGCGTACTTTGGCAACATAAACAAAAGTAGTTGCCATATAGGAGCTTTTATGAGAGTTTATAAAATTAAAAAAATGAACATATTTAATGTGTGGTAATCTGGTCAATAAGTGCATTTGTTAAATAATAATATGAATAACTAATTCTATGATGTCCGCGTAATTCATAAAGTAATCACTATATACGGAGCAAGTTGACTTAATTAGATGTTTTCGTACTACCTTGGACTTGAATCTAAAAATCTAGTGACTGTTCGTGTGAGCTAATACAGTGATTTTGGCTCACACGTACAATGGCCAGCTTGCT